ATTCTATTTCTGTCTCGCATTGAATTCCCAGGCAGTTCTCCTACACTGTGTAAAATGGCAGAGAGCGTGCTCGGTCCAGTGATCTACAGTCTGTCTTACTGCCGCTGGTACCTGGAGGCGCTGTTTGAAAAGGAGGCTATTCGTTACCCAGAAGTCATGGCGCGCTATGTGCATGGGCTATCGACACGGAATGGATATACACTGAATAACTACAGCTCTTGTGTAGCAGTCTTATTTGCGATGGGGTTTGCTTACCGAGTGCTGGCTTTGTTGTTTATGTTGTTTACGAATAGAGGGAAGCAACATTAGCTGCATCTTGTTGTTAGAGAAATCTGGAGGAAAGCGTATTATTGTTAAACTTAAGCGTGGCTTTAAATTAGATTATTAGATTTCATTTTTTTTGCGTGTGTCCTGTGACAGTGAACGCAAGAAAAGGAATTAGACGAGGGAGCCAACTTGTGCAAACATTATTTTGTTGTCAGTTGAGAGCATTTATTTCTGTTTTGTTGATTTTTTTTTCTTTTTCGTTAGCGTGCTCGAAGGTGCCATATATGTTTAACTTAGACATAGTTTGATGCTACTCTGGTTTGCAGATTTAATGAATGTAACCGAAGAAGTCAACATGTCTTATTTTTCAAATAATTTTTGCAATAGCAACTTAGATGCGCAGGTGGCCATGGGTTGTTGTTTTGAGACGCAGCTTAACGGATAGAAATATTTCTGATTAAAAGATCTCGGAAACTGTGATTCTAGTGGTTAATTTTTTGCGATTCCTCGTTGTGAAAAACGTTTTCTAGGACGTGGTTTTCCCTTTTTATCGGGAAAAAGGAGAGGACTTATTCACTGAAAAATGTATGATACGTTGGACTCAAATTAACACCTGTGCTGAAGAAGCTGAAATATTCTCTTCACGTTTCTTCCACGCACTCGAGCAATAACCACTCACTTTTTGTATAATGCGGAACATTTAGGCTAATTGCATCGTTCCTGTTTTGTGGACATCAACAGAAATCAATCTTTAAGTAAACATCTTACCACACAATCTATTTACATTTAATTAGGGTTGGCTCAGCGATTGTCAGTATAACGAATGTCCGTCCAGAATGGGCTGCATAGAGATATCCTTTTAGGCAAATTGATCCATTTATTTGCTTACACCGCCGGTAAAATAAGTAACATATCCTATCATATTTCGCCTATTGATTATTTGCCCTTCCTATCCAGCTGCTCTCGTATCGGCTATTATCTTTGGGTTTACGGAAGACTTATTAACAGTTTTTTTTTAGTCAATTATGAATTTACCTCACATAATCATCGATTCGCCGTTGACTGCCAAGCTTCCCACACTCGAACTCTTGTTCATTCAAGTCTTGCGGCAACTCAGACTAAAGTTGATAGTTTTTTAATTTTCTGTTTACATTTCGAGTAATTTTCTTTCAATAACTCGAGGGGTTCTGCTTCGAAATAATTTTTTCTTACAATTTTCCGTTTCAATGCTCTGACCACATTGCACTGGACTATATGAGTTAATGGGAGTCAACTGTGGCCAAACGTTGTCATAGGAGTAAGAATCAAGAACCTTGAGACTGTATCCAAGGTTTATCGAAAGTTGGGAGAGTATTTCTTTCGTCGGCACTAGTAGATAACACCTCAATAATAAACCTATGCAAGGAATAATTAAATATGTTCCAGAAAGGAATAAGACTTCCTTCACCTGTCGTGAGGCATTTCGAATGTTTAACGTTTGTTCTTCCCACTTAGTAAAATAAACCACCTTCTTGTTAGTTTCGTTTGATCATGTGTTTCCTTAACAAAAGCGTAGGTAGATGTTCAAAACCCATTCTTTTAGTTCACGAAAGAATCTTAGAGGAAGATATTAATCTTTTATCCGTATTATCTGATAATATTAGGAGATAAAATTTAGTTCAGGCTTGTCGCCAAAGACATAGTCAATTAAACAAATACGTTTATCCCATTCTGAGGGCTAGTTCCTGTGCACCTGCGATATGATAATTAACTAATTTTCCTTGTACACTGGTGTTTGAATGAAGAGCTATCTAAAAATATTAACCGGTTAATTCACGTCTCATATAACCATCTTACTACCGACAACGACCCCCACACCTTTTTCATGTATATAAAGAGAGTGGATTAAGTGACTCTGAATGCGACTGCAATTTCTTTTCAAGGTATGTTTATTCATTTTTATGATTTTTTTCTTTCTTTGGCCTTTTGAAGTTCATATTTCAGTAAAAGTCACTTCAAACTGTGGTATAGGGGTTTGAAAGAATAACATTATTGGAGATATAACCTTCGAAAGTTCGTCAATTAGCAACTAAGCTCATTGTTAGCAGACTGTTGTTGTGATATTACAGTATGTGGTTAGGTACGTTTTTGTGCTAATCAAGAAATTTCACAGAAGTAATAGAGCTGTGACGGTATGAAAACAACATTGCAACCGGGTAAGTACAATAATATTTTTAAAAATTTTTTGGCCCAGGACTCTGAAATTGGAAATTTGACCGAGGCATTGTGCAAGCACTTTTCCTTTTACAAACTTTAAAGAAGCCACATACATGTAAATGTAACTACCTTTGATAACGACACCAAAATCGGACTAATTACCACATGTTTGTGTACCAGTGGTTGAAACAGCCCTCTCAAGTCGTCGAATACAGTTTATTCAGATATGTTCACATTATCCCTTGCAGTCAAACATAAGTGGCGCGTATTGTTGAGAAATATTACAGTCTCAATCGTTATTATCTACACATGGTTTAATCAGAAAAAAAA